TTTATCTTTAAACTAGGAACAATACCTTCTTCGTGGTGCAAATTTAATGAGAATTAAATGAGATATACATAGATGAACATAGATTAAGGAATAATTGTGGGAAGTACACAATAAACTCTTAGTAATGGTCAGCATGATAATTATCATCAGCATGCTCTCAATTTACTTCCACAACACAGTGCAACTTCTAGTATCATGACCAATATAAAATTTTTGTTTTCTTTGTGTGTGTAAAGTTTTGAATTACTAGTGTGACAATGATCTCATTTTTTCCTCAGATGGGAAATGATTAATTCATAGAGCTAGGTATGAAATGGACTCACCATCTACATTTTCAAACTTTTCTCCAGGAAAGGTCAATGGTATCAGCTTTTTGTGCTGGATCACTTTGGGGCTGTTCAGAAACCAAAAGAAAGCAGCTTGATGGGCCAACAGGGAGAGCTAAGGAAATGGAATCATCAGGGAGGGTGTGCCCATGCAGAATGAGCCTCAGAGACTGAGATTCTCTTTCAGAGAAACAGGGTCACTGAGTGAGCTTTATACACAAGACCAACATTTGGGTCTTAAAGGCTGGAACTCAGTCATAGGAGTTGGAGTTCTCTTTTGGGGGAATGAGTTCTTTCCTCTCATCCTGGAATATTCACTGTTGCAATATGAATTGAGAGTCTCAGATTCCAGTTAATTGGGGGTTTTGGTAGAAAGTCATTTTGTGCTTTCACTGGGCCTGGAAGAGGAATCGTTCTGGGACTCACCTAGCTTGGTAGTGAATTATCTATCCCCTTTAACTACCCCTTTGCCTTGCTTTAGTGATCAAACAGATCATTACCTACACCTAGATAAAATAAGTCCATAGTATCACTAGTTGTTTAGCTCATCAATACACTATGTATCTAAATTCTATTGATTATTAAAATTCTACTCATTATTGGACTCCACTTCTTCTATTAGAACTCCTACAAAATTCATAATTTATTATATTGCTAGGAGCACATGCATACTTTTTTTTCTAGTGTTAATATTTATTTTATACATGTTGATTTTAGCTCTATAAATAAACTGCAAGAATAGGGACACAACTATTAAATTTATAAACCATGGGAGACATGAGGAACTGGAACAAAGTGAGGCAATAGAATAATAATGCTATAGTAGACAGAGATATTAAATTTATACTTTTTAAAGTTTTTTTTTTTTTTTTCTAGAAAGAGAGAGAGACAGTAACCTCAATGGGGTCTTCCCTCTGTGAGTCACCCCAGGCAGACTGGATCATGGGCACACATGAACATGCCTGGTGGTCATGGGAGGCATGGAGATGACCCTGGGACCTTCCCATGTTGGTCTAGCATTGTATCTGCTGGGCCACTGACTAGGACTTTGTACAATTTTTATATTTCTTTGTTGTGGAAAAGTTTTATACACATTTAGACCCCCAGTAAAATTACTTAAATGACTTCTTTAAAAAAGTATCCAAAAATAGCCAAACATCAAACATCTAATGGGTGAGAGTAAAAAGTAAATTTAGCTCTATCTTTTTGTGATTTTAAAGTTTTGAGTGATTCTGAGGAAAATCCATTTTAAGTTAACTCTTTTGTTCTTGAATGACAGGATCAATGGGTAGGAGGAATCATAAATCGGTGGAAGGAAAGATGGGACGGCAGGATGTAGCTTTGTTGTACATTACAGTATGCGAAACATTTTGGTTGCTTGTAACTTTTTAAATAATTACTTATTTAATTTTATTAATTATTCTTCTTCTCCAATTTAACCAGAAAGAGGCAGAAAAAGACAGAGGGCAGGGAATGAGAAAGCAAGCTGTCAGGTCTGGAACTCTACCCATGGTCCCAACATATAAGAGGCCAGCGCCTTAACACCACACCACCTGCCGGCCCCACTTGCAACTGTTCATCTAAAAATCAGCCTTCAACCTTGAGGTCCTCTTATCCTTTTTTGTTGTTGTTGTTCAAATCATATAAAAAATTTCAGTCAGAGCAATGCTAATTACTCAAGATAATTTATTAATAGATAAAGCTTTGGGACGAGAACTCTAAAATGCTATCCTTTCTCTGTATTTTTTTTTTTTTTTTAAACAACAGGCTCTCACCATTTCTTGATCCTCCTGCTTCAGCTTCCTCAGTATTTGGGACTACCAGTGTACACCACTACTACACCCGGCTTTTAGGGTGGCCAGGAATCAAACATGGGCCTCCTATGGCTTCGGCCTGCAGAATAGCAGTCTCTATCACCACATGCTATCACTGCTGGGCCTACCATGCATTTTTAACAATGACACTTTCTTCAAATACTGGTTACAGGGAACAGACATTATCCATTCATGTTTCTTACATTACCATAGCAATCAACGTTTATATATAGCATAAAGACCTCAGAAAAATTATGCTGGAATATTTTAACATAAAACAATTTAAAATTTCTGAAGTATTACACTAAAGCATTGTCTTAATATCTAACATTATCCTTTCCACGGTAACACTATTACTTACCTTCTTTCAACAGATTCTATAGTTTTAAAATCTATTATATTTATTGAGTTATGTTTGCAAAATAGGAAAATGAAAGAAATGATGGAAAATGGCATCTATTATTTTTACAAAACATTTCCTCTTCCAGTAAATAATCTATTATTAATATTTGTTCTTTAGGAGACAGAGTAGGTCCCCCTTCCCTGTGACTTTGTTTTAAGGTTTCCATTACCCATGGTCAACCTCAGTTCAAAAATATTAAATAGAAAATTCTAGAAATAAACAATTCATAGGTTTTAATTGCTTACTATTCTGAGAAGTAGGAGGAAATCTTGTGCCAGCCCTCTCAGTCCCACCTGGAATGTGAATTCTCCCTTTGTCCAGTGTACCCACTCTGTATATACAACCTGCCTATTAGTCACTTAACTGCCATGCACTTACCAGATCAAAAACACACAGAACTGTACACATCAGGTCAGTACTAGCTGAGGTTTCAGGTATCCACAGGGGGTCTTCAGACATACTCCTTGTGGGTAAATGGGGACTACGATATCATCGTTATTTCTGCTTTGCCAACTTTTGCTCCTTTAAATGATTTTAAGAGTAAATATCACTATGTCGATGAAAATAATAGATTATAAATATTATAAATATGGTTAATTGAAAAAGTTCTAACTTCAGATTACGTCTTACTTTGTCTAACTTTTAAATGGCTCAGCAGATAACTTCATTAAACTTCCCTATATAATTTTCTGTATTTGGGTTATTTTAGATAAAATATAGTTATAACAGATGACATCTGTAATAAATATCTGAATTAAATAAGTGATACCTTTACTTATATTAAAATAACAATTTCACATATTTTTATCTTTAATATGATCTTTAGAAATAGGATAACAATGTATCCCTATGTAAATATGAATAGGTTAATGACCAATTACATTTTGGAGATGAGAAAACTAGGTCAGAGATTAATGACCAGCTTTGAATGAGCCCAGGTGTTCCAGGGTTCTAGCAGCCATGCCCTGGTCTTATTTTCTTTTCTCTGATCTGTTATTTTCAGTTCTGAAACGAAACAGTGCAATGATAGAACTGAAAAATGTATTTTTGCTGATGGAGGAGAGGGAAACGTAGTGACTTGTTCTCTTCTGACCAATTATCACTATAGTTGTGCTTCTTAGGAGAGAAGGATGGATGTGAGTGGAAACGTGGACCACTGGCAAATCTACCAGAGAGATGAAGTCATTAGCCATATATGGGCTCATTAAGCTCTAATGGTGATCATAATCATCCGTTTGTGATTTGGAAGAACTATGCTTCCATCCCCCTGAAAGGCTTTTTGTTTCGTAGGTTCCTTTTTATTCTGCTTCCTGAAACCCTATGCCAATTGATGTTTGCATGTTTCTGAAATGGCAACGAGCCTTCTAATTGATTCTCTCACTACGTTGTGAGCCAAGCTGGCAGGCGCCCCACTTTCAGGTCACTTGACACGTCACACTACCTAGGGCTAGCCAGGAACCCATTCAAAGGGCAATGGGATGCCAATTATTTTCCTTCTTGGCATTTACATGAAGGTATCATATATCTCCTTTAAGAGAGAGGCTGCTAAAAAGGAATTGGGAATTTGTTTCCCCTAATAATTTCCCAAATCACCAAGTCTGTGGACTATGGGAGGTTTGAGAAACTGAAACAATGACATGAGGAGATAGCATAGCAACACTTCAGTCCATCAGTAAGTGTAGCACATGCTAAATGTCAGGGAATGTTTTCAATGCCTTGTATCTACTAATTCGAGTGTGATGTGCTGCAGCTCTTGGAAGTGTACTGATATTTCTCTCACTTCGTAGCTGGGAAATATGAAACCCACGGCCACAGAGCTAGTAAATGTAGAACCATAATTTGAACGTAGGTTGAGTCAGAGGCTTTTAATCATTTTGCTATAGGTGGAATTAAAGATCCTGTGTAAATCCACCTTAAAGTGAACTGATAGCTTCTAAGAATAGACAATTACTTAACCTGGAATGCAAATGACTGATTCAGAGACATAGAAATATGAGGCCATCCAGGATAAATCCCTTTATCCCATACTCCCTCAGCCAACACCACTGTGGTAGGATGCTGTGTGCCTTTCCCCACCTCAATAAAGGAATGCATTCAAGTATTTCCTGGCTTCATTTATAAAAATAACAATTCTAATTGATCTGTTTGTGTAATTTGCAATGTCCAGGCATACTCCAATGTGGAAGCTTACTAAGATCACACGTACTTTCACTAGAACTCTAGATGGGCAGTCCGCCATAAGCAACATACAGCGTGTAATCTGATTCACAAAGAGAACTCACACATGGAGCTGCTGCTTCCCTGTCTCTACCCAGGATCACGATTCTGCCTTCTACTAAAAGATTGCCCAGTATCCTAATGAGAAAATCCCAACCAATAAAGCATAGCACATTTATCCAAAGCTAAATTCATACCATCCAATTGACACCATTATGTCTTATTAAATTAATGATTTACCTTATGAATCTATGTAGGCTCCATACCCTTCAGAACTAGTTGTGAAGTTTAGTGCAAGCGGTCTGGGACCTAGAAGAAAAGCAAACAAACCCACAATTTAAATCAAGCATGAAAAGACTACCAGTAGGACTGAAGACACATTAGCATAAGCATTGCACGTTGTTTTGTATCAGATTCAAATTATAAAGGCATTCACCAATTTAGAGGTTATAGAGAAGATAGAATTTATATGAGATAGAATATCAATGTTTGTACCTCTGTGTTTTAAACAGAAGTGCTCGGACAAAAAAGTGAGAGGGTCTAAAATGATTCCTGGAATGGAACAATGAAACTGAACCCAGGAGGGAGGAGCAGGCTGCCACCCACCTGGAGAGACCGGTTAATATAAAGATCAATTGCACTCTTATCTTGCTAGTCATTAGACAGCCCATTGATGCCACCTGCTTACTTTAAATGTAAAAGTACAAACCAACCATTGGAAAGCTGCCACCATCCCTTCGAAACCCCCTTTTTTTCTGTTTTAGTGATAGGAGGAAAGGGCCAAATGTTAACCTTTAGAAGCTGAGCATCTGCTCCTCCAGAAAGGCAGATGTGAGGGCAAAACAGAAAGCAAGTCTTTATAGGTAAAGATGGGAGAATGAAGATACCAGAATATAAAGACTATATAAAATTCATATCAACATCAACTCAAGAAACATTTTAAACATAAAAAATAAAATGACCCAGGGGATTTTTCTCTCTTCTTAGGTAGTCATATCCCCTAGATCTGAAGTAACTATATATTAAAACACACAGAAAACTTTTTGTTAGTTCACTTTAATGGTCTTTGAGAAATACTCTTTTTCACGTGTCAATTATTCTTCCAGGAAATATAAGGAAGGATTCACCTGTCTTTCTTTAGTATCAGTTGTCAATGATCAAAGGTTTTCAGAGAAATAAAGAAATATATTAATATATTTCCTAAAGAAAGTAAATGCCTGCTCAATCATTGGTAAGAAAGAAAAGAAACTTCACTTTTCAAATGAGGGGCCTTCAGAAAATGTACAGGAAATGTATATTAGTTTTCAAAAAAAAAAACTGTGAAAAAAACTATGGATGGATTTCATTTTATTTCTGGTCAAAATAAATCTTTTTTTTTTTTTTTTTTTTTAATTTACCACAGGGTGTGTGCACTTCCAGAGAGAGACAAACATTGAGAGAAGGAAAAGGAGAGAGCACTCCTAATGGGACATTGTCATGCTGCAATCTCTTCTCCATTTCTTCATCCTGTTGGGATTTTGGGCATGGACATACATGTGCCCAGCATGGTTTTCAAGCCTCTGGGGCTGGCATGATAACTACAATCAGTCACACGGGATCCAACTCCATTAACCATTTGGTCATGGGTCTGCTCTAAATCTGTAATTCCATTTTCCATGAACTTTTTGAAGTTCCTCTGTAATTGGATATTTCCTCTCAGAAACTTCTATTTACTTCTCTCACCTCCTGTAAACATCAGCTATTAAATGAGCCTCCTTTTTTTAATGACTTAGTACATTTTTATTAAAAAATTATAAGCCACTGTTTTTCATGTTTTTTTTTTCCTTAATCTTAAGTATTCCCCAGTAACACAGATGACTTTCTTCCTAAATTAGAAAACTGACAAAGTGAGAAAGGGTATTTGTTCCTAGTAACTATAGTTTATATGTCTTATTCTTCTGAATCCAAAGTTGTTTTATTATAGCAAGGTCTTTCTTTTTTTTTGGAGAGGTTTTCGCTATATGGCACGTGCGCTCGCCAGACAGAGACAGAGAGACAGAAAGTCAGAAATCACCCCCCGGGGGGGATGGCCACACCGCAATCCCTTCTCCTCCATTCTCCTCTCGGGATCTTGGGCACGCACGCACACGCGCCCAGCGTGAGTTTTAAGCCACCGGGTCCAGGATGCGAACCGCGGTCGACTACGTGGGAGTCCAGTGACATAGCCATTATACTAACTGCTGGTTCCCAGCAAGGTCTTTTTTAAAAATTTTTCAAATTTTTTTTTTTTTTTAGTTTAAAATCTTTGGGTCTCTTTATTTTATTGTTTATATTATTTTTCTTTTCAATTAATTAATTTACATTCACATCACAGCATACAAAATGTGATTTCCATCCAGAATGTACTGCATAGTGGCTTAATAATTCATGTTATTGTAATCTGTATATATATATTTCTCACCCTCTGCCACTTCCCACCCTCCTCTCACACTATCTCTGGTGCTACAATTGCTTTCCATTCCTTTTTTCCTCCACATTTTATTGATTCACAAAATTTCTTAAATAATCTAACTACTTTCAATAGCAAGTTCAGCCGATATATACATATCTGTGAATACATGTCTGACTTTAAGCATAAAACTCTGAGAAGAATGAATATACTATACAGTAGCACCTAGCTGATGCTATATAGCTTACTATAGTCATTAAACAGGCATTTTTAATATATTTTTTAATTTCAAGAAAAGCAGTTTTAGCTTTAATAAATCAAAATTAAAAATGCTGAGAGTTTTGCTTAAAACTTAAAGTCAGGAAACAGGTTAGGATTGTTTAAATATTAGGTGCATGAACCTATCGGCAGCTTAAGGTAAGACAAAAATCTTTAAAATTGGAAAAGAAAGCCTAGAAGAAAATTAGCAATGTTTTATTCAAAAGTCATAAGATTCTATTCCACTAGTTCAGTCTCATATACTTAATCTACTTTCTGTTGTGGTCCGATCTTCCCGATTAAATTCTGGGATATAATATTCAACTCCAGACTTGTTCCTACCATTAAGTTGGCCATTTTCTTAGTGTTTGAACTCTTATTTCTGTGTGTCTGTACTCAATTTTCCTGGTATAGCACTCCTTTCAGAACATCTTGGAGAACTGGTCTGGCGTTGGTAAATTCTTTCAGATTTTGTTTATTTGAGAATGTTCTTTTCTTCTCATATGAAGGATAATCTTGCCAGGTACAGTATTCTTGGTTCAAATTTCTTTTCCCTTAACACTTTGAATATATTTTTCCATTCTTTCCTTGCTCACATTGTTTCTGATGAGAGGTCCACTGTTAGCCTGATGGGATATCCTTTGTAGGTAACTTGACATTTCTCTCTTGCCAGTTTTGGGATCTTGTTTCTATCTGTGGTTTTGGTCAATCTGGCTACAATGTGTCTTGGAGCAGATCTTCTTGGATTGATTCTATTTGGTGTCCTTAGTATTTCTTGGGACTGGGTCTTTGAATGTCTCTCTAGGTTTGGAAAGTTTTCTTTCAGGAGTTCATGGAATAGATTATCAACGCTCTTGGGACCATCAGTTGGCTTAATAGCTTTGTCACTGAACTCCCATGTAGTTGACCATGGTTCAAGTCCCAGACCCAGTGGCTTAAACTCATGCTGGGCACGTGTGCCCAAGATCCCAAGAGGAGAACAGAGTAGAAGGGATTGCAGCGTGGCCATCCCCCTTTGGGGGTGATTTCTCCCTTTCTGTCTCTTTCTCTCTTTCTGGTGAGTGCACGCACTCTATAGCAAAAACCTGTCCAAAAAAAAAAAATTATGAATGCTCTTACGAGTCTCTTCACCTTCTGGGATACTGATTATCCAGATGTTTGGACATTTGATGGTATCTAGTATTTCTTGTATATTATTCTCATTTTCTCAGTCTTTGTGGTGGATTTTTTAGGCCAGTGATTCTATTATCTATATCTGAGATTTGATTTTCTATATGATCTAGTCTGCTTTTAATATTTTCAAGGGAAGTTTTGACTTTCTGTATTATAGCCTTCATCTCAAAGAGTTCCATTTGACTCTTTTTATGGTATGTATTTCCTCTTTCAGATCTTGCAAGAATTTCCCCACCTCCTGGAACTCGTTGGGTCCTTTCTCCTGCCACTTCTGCAGTTCATTGCCTCTATTCTCTTCAATCTCTGTTAGCTTTGTCACTAGGAATATTCTAAATTCTTTATCTGACATTTCCATAAGTTTCATTGTACTGTCTGCGAATGAAGAGGAGTTATTCTTTCCACTTGGAGGAGAGATATTTTCTTGCTTTCCCATATTTCTTGTGACTCTGTAGTGATTTCCAGTCACCTGATGGATTGTGCATTTCTTCCTAATTCATGAAGTTCAATCTGGGCATTCAGAGGTGTGCAGGAGGAGGTGTTGTGCAATCTCTCTTCCATTCCGTTTTTCACTCTTTGTGTATCAGATTCAATGAGAATTCAGGAATATTCTGATCCTAATTGTATCCAGATGTTTGGATACTGTTCACTTGGACCTGTATAGACACTCAGTGCATGGAAACCACTAGAAATCAATCTGGAGGGAGAAATCTCAGCAGAAAGTCTTCATTTTTTAGTCAATGACAGCAATATTTCACAGCTCGAGTTCAGTAGCAATCTCGCCTCCTGACTTTTTCTTATCCTCTGACTTTGCACTTACCACTTACTGGGGCATCAGATAGATGCCTGATGGAAGGTTTGGGGATCATCTGACCTTTGTAGCAGAAAAATATCCATTTCTCTTTTAATGAGTATGTTTATTCTATCTCACTTATTTTTAATGATATACATATTTATTATTTATTGATAATTACTAATTGAGCAGTTAGTTAACTTTGTCACTAGGAATATTCTAAATTCTTACTTCTCTAGCTACCAAGAAATTCCTTTCTCTCTGCCTTGAGCATCCTTATTCTGGTCAAAAACACTTTGCAAACAGTGAAATGCTAACTTAGGACGCAAATGATGACATGTAGCAGTTTTCTATAGTTTCGTAAAGCAATGAGATGCTGAAACCAACTCATGGCCTTTTAACTCATTACTGCTCTTTAACTCATTTTTACCTCTAAAAGTCAAAATAATATATATAGATTCCAAATACAGGTCTGTGAGGCTGGCACACATGGGAGGTTCTGAGTTCACATCTGCAGACCTTCCTGAGAATACCAGGCATGTGCATGCTCATATTCTGGTGCTGGCTGAAGCTGGGGGTGGTTCATGGCATCAAGATTTGCTTGAGGGTACTGCCTTTCTGTCTATTTCTCTCTTGCATCTGGAATTATATAAATAAACT